TGTGATCATGACATAAGTGCACACCCTCATTTTACAAAGGGGAGGTTGGAATTCGCAAGCCAGCTCAGAGCATGCTGCCATCTGCTGGGAAGAAGGTAGATGTGAACACCAAAGCATCCCTTAACACCAGGCCACAGTGGGGAGGGAGAAATCTGGAAAAGGGAAGGGTAGGGATCCAGTTTCCCTTGGTTGTGACTCTCTTGTGCTTTAAGACGTCCGGGGCTTTCCCCATTGGCTAACAATTTGTCAGAAGAATGAGATTTTAATCAGGTTTTCTCCTGAAAACTGATAGGACATTATCCAACTTTAAAAAGGAAGGAGATTCTGACATATGTTACAACATAGATGAACCTTGAGGACATTATCGTAAGTGAAATAAGCCAGGCATAAAAAAAGACCAATGCTGTATAATTCCACTTATATAAGGTATATACAGTAGTCAAAAATCACAGAGACAGAAAGTAGAATGGTGGTTGCCAGGTACTGGGGGTTAGGAGAATGGGGAGTGTCTAATGGATACAGAGTTTGAGTTTTACAAGACAAAAATGTTCTGGAGAGTGGTTGCACAAAGTGTGAACATGTTTAACACTGCTGACCTGTACACTTAGAAATATATATACACACGCACAGAGTCTTGCTCTATTGCCCAGGCTGGAGTGCAGCGGCACAGTCTCAGCTCATTGAAACCTCCACCTCCTGGGTTCAAGTTATTCTCATGTCTCAGCCTCCTAAGTAGCTGGGATTACAGGTGTGCACCACCAAGCCTGGCTAATTTTTGTATTTTTAGTAGAGACGGTGGAGTTTCACCATGTTGCCTAGGCTGGTCTCATACTCCTGGCCTCAAGTGATCTCCTGCCTTAGCCTGCCAAAGTGCTGGGATTACAGGTGTGAGCTACTGCACTTGGCCTCTGTACACTTAGAAATATTAATAGTTAAAATGGCAAATGTTAGGCTGTATGTATTTCACCACAATTTAAGAACCAGTAAGTGAAAGAGATAAGCATGTGGTAGGCGCTTGACTTCATGCAATAGAGTCACAATAAATATGTGTTGAGTGAAGATGGAAAGAAGTGGCTAGGCATGGTGGCTCACACTGGTAATCCTACAACTTAGGAGACTGGAGCAGGAAAATTGCTCAAGCCCAAGAGGTTACAGTGAGCTATGATTGTGCTAGTGCACTCCAGCCTGGGCGACAGAGCAAACCGTGTCTCTCAGGGATGGAAAGAAGTGATGCTGACTCATGGTCTCAGATACCAGGGTGAACATGACAATGGGCATCTTTTCTTTACCAGAAAAACCTTCCAAGCAACTGTGATTAGTCACAGTTACCTTTTCCTTGAGGTGATAAATTAGTTGTCTTTCCTGTTCTCATCTCAAAGCCAAAATGTTGTATTTTCCTAGAAAATTCTGATGGCATGGCACTGAGTTCTACCAGAGCCAGAACCTAACATCCTGTGTGTTCTTGATCACTGGTAACAGTGGCAGCCAATTTTTTGTTAATTTCAGGGATGCAGACCCTAGTTACAGAACTTCAGAACCACGAGGGCTCTAAGCAGCCTTGTAATATTGAAGGGATTTCTCTCCTGCTTACTAAAAATGCATAAATACAGTAAACTTTTTAAACAGTGACTTTTCAAAAGCCACAGGAGCCAGTGAGTGCAAAGCAGGGCCTTCCCCAGCGCCCACAGCCGCAGACCGTGCACAACAACTTCTTCCCCTTGGTCTTGTCTTGCCAGTGGAGTCACTGCTCTGCAAGGGGGAATGTTCTCTTTGTGGATGCTCCAAGGCCCATCAGCCACAGCTTTTGCCAGGATAACAAGGGGAGGCTGAGTCTGTTCATAGTGGGACTCTCAGCCCAGAGGCAGGTGTCAGATCCTCGAGCGGAAGGATGGTGGAGTGCAAAGAGAGTATGAGCCTCCAAACGCAGCTGGCTCTCCAACTGCCTGGATGTCTCCTGGAGCCCCTGCTGTTGAGCCCTTGTGAGCAACCCTGACTCTCCCCAACTTCCCTGCCTGACTGTCAAGTCTCAGCCAGAGGCAGATTCAGAATTGACAGTGACAGGTTAAGTTCGCCACAAGGGATTTGGTTATGAAGACCCCCAACCCCCAGGACTCCTGGACTTAGAGTATTTCCTATATTTCTCATGAACATTTTTAACCCAGTAAAATGGAGTGGTGAAGCTCATTTCTGGGTCAGAAGCGCTGTTAGCCATGGGTGGAAGCCCAGTTCCAGGGAAGGGAATGGGAGATGGGATCTGCGGAGTCAGGAGAACTGAACCTGGGGGTGTTGACACCACAACCTTCCACACTCACTTGGAAATTTGAATAACCAGCTTCTCCCAGTTGCTTTGTGTGTCTGGAAGTGGCTCTCTTTCAAAAGGCAAAAACAACCATTGTAATCTCTCCTAAAGCCTTGCAAAAGACATCCCTCCATTCCTGTTTGCCAGGGGTGGGATGAGATAGTCAGCAGCTTTTTCTCCAAGACTCAAAGCTGCAAGGTTTCTGAATTTGTGGAGACCTTGCAGAGGCCTGGGGGTCTGAGGAGCGTCAACATGGCTGATTGCAGAAGCACACAGTTCCACAGGGACTGCTGGACTTTATCTGAGGGCTCCAGGACTATTTTGCCCAGTGGGTCTATTTACCTTCCTGTTGGATCAAATCCGACATACCTGGACCGGCTCCCTGAGACTTGAGCAAGTTTTGTTCCACTATCATAATTCATTGTGGACTCCAAACACAGGCTGCTCAGATTATGCTGAGCCGGGTGGGCTTGGAGTGGGTTGGGGGCAAGAATTACATCCTTCCAGATGAATAGAGGCAGTGCATCTTTTGCAAGGCCTGGGAGCTGGGGAGTGGGTCAGAACCCAAGTGTTTCACATATCTCTTGCTTCACCCATTAACATCATTGGTGGAAAAGCACACAAACCAAATAGGAGGAGAATCCAGTCATTACCATTTCTCACTAATTTCTGGCTCTCCTTTATATGATTACTAAAGAAAAGCATAAACCTCTCCACATCAGAGCCTGTAAAACTGTCAGTTTCCAGCAGGGATACTAACACTAGCAGGCCATAAAGCTAGGTATCCTGGCTGGGCATCATGGTACATGTTTGTAGTCCCAGCTACTGAGGAGGCTGAGGTGGAAGGATCACTTGAGCCCAGGAGTTCAAGGTTATAGTGAGCCATGATCATACCACTGCACCCCCCGAGCCTGTGCAACACATTGAGACTCTATCTCTTAAAAAAAAAAAAAAAAAAACTCACGAAATGAAAAAACCTAGGCACCCTTTTTCTCTCTGAGGCTATTCCCACTGGCACAGCCAGTTCTGTCCCTTTAATCTGTGCTAAAATCAGAAGAAGAGTATCTAGCTGATAGTCCTTGTTACACAGGGGCAGCCAGGACCTCAGGGCTGAAACACAGGTTTTTCAATTAATTATTAGGAGGTGCGCAGTGGGGAGCACTTCCTCAAAGGTAGAGAAGTACGCGCAGGAGTGTGTATTAGAGATAGAGGGCAAACAGACTCCATAATTCTACATGTGGCCTGCAGGGAGCAACCTCTCTCTAGCAATGACCACACCACATACTTAAAGAGATATTGCAGGAAATGCATTTAATTGGCCAAGGAATAAGAGTTTTGTTCTTAAAAATGAAAAAAAAATTATATCAATATATTTCCACTAAGCAATTTCCACCCCTACATATTTTCATATAGAGATGTTGCTATTTTTCTATTTACAGTGCTAGGTACATAGTAAGCTTTTAACAGATAAACACATGGATTGTTCAGTTGGCTGAAGATAACTCAGACTTGCCTGAGGCATGGAAAATACAGGTTGAGAATAGGAGGAAGTCCCAATGGTAAATGTGCGTGGAAAAACACTGATACAGCTTGAATGTTCCCTCCCAAACTCACACTGAAATTTAGTTACCATCCTAGTAGTTTGCAGGATTGAAAAAAGAAATTTGATTTCCATTGCAACAATATTAAGAGGTGGGACCTTTTTTCTTTCTTTCTTTTTAAAGATGGAGTTTCACTCATGTTGCCCAGGTTGGAGCCCAATGGCACGATCTCAGCTCACTGCAACTTCCCCCTCTCAGGTTCAAGTGATTCTCCTGTCTCAGCTTCCCGAGAAGCTGGGATTACAGGCACCCAGCACACCCAGATAATTTTTGTATTTTTAGTAGAGATGGGGTTTCACCATGTTGGCCAGGCTGGTCTCAAACTCCTCACCTCAGGTGATTCGAAAGAGGTGGGATCTTTAAGAGGTGATTAGGCCATGAAGACTCTGCCCTTATGAATGGATTAATGTCATTATCAAGGGGGTGGGTTTGTTAGACAAGAACAAGTTTGGCTCCTCTTGCTCTCACCATCTCTTTGTCCTCAACTGTGGGATGATGCAACAAGAAGGTCCTTGCCAGATGCCAGCACCTTGATGTTGGACATCTTAGCCACCATGTCTGTGAGCCAATACATTTCTGTTTCTTAGAAATTACCCAGTCTCAGGTATTCTTTTATAGCAGCACAAAGCAAACGAAGATTAGCACTTTCCTTTCTGGTTAATAGCTTGCCCAAGAAAAACAAATGCATTTGAAAATTTACAAAAGGTCTCTCTAAAAGCAAACCATGATTAATTCTTTAAAAACAAAGGACACAGTTATCTTGGTTTTATAAATATTCCCCTTCAATTCAAAGTTCATCTTTCATATGTATTAAAGAAACAAGTTCCGGGTTTATGCAGGTTTATACATGTTTAAAGTTTTACATTTAGACTCAGCCCTGTCAAATGCATTTACCCAAACTGACTCAGCCCTCTCCCCAGCTAGATGGTGCAGAGACTGGATGAAGCTGTCAAAGTCCACCTGTCACTGAAAGGGACCACTGAGATTAGTTTTGGCAGGCAGCACTGAGCAAAGAGCAGGGCAGCCCAGCCTGAGCTTGGCCAGCCTCGCAGAAGATGTGCATGTGTTCTTAGAGGGAGCAATGCTTCTCTTTCCACAGAATAGGCTATGGGCTCCCAGGGACTTGCACCTTCGGCTGGGACTTGCCTAGAAGCTATCTGTCTATCTCTCAGAACTTCTCTGTTTTCCAAGCAGCAAAGAATGAGCACCTTTAATGCCAGCAGTATCCAAGAGCACCCTGATCCCAGAAGGATCCCTTTTTAGGAGAGGCCAATAGCCTCAGGTAGCTTTGGACAGTGGGCCTGCAGGGAGAGGGGCTGGGCAGTCTGTCCACGAGTGAGGTACAGACACACCCTGAGACCCCTGGAGGGTAGCAGTCTTCCACAGAAGCTACAGATTGATGTTTGTGACTACTGGCCTCATCACAGGCCCAGTGTCCCCATCTACCAAGGTTCATGGTCATGCGGCTTCACAGGCTGAAGCCTCTCTAGGGAGAGGAGGCAGCAAGGTGACTGAAGCAGGAACAGCTGGGAAGGAGCCATCTGTGATCTCTTGACCAGCAGGAACACTGGCTCCTTACCCAACCAGAAGTACATAATGCAGGAACCAGAGTGACTTTCCTTCACTCCTGAGCTTGTTTTGTTTGTGTTTGTTTGAGACAGGGTCTTGCTCTGTCACCCTGGCTGGAGTGCAATGACATGATCTCAGCTCAGTACAGGCTCAAGCAATCCTCTCATTTAAGCCTCTCAAGTAGCTGGGACTACAGGCGTGCACCACCATGCCCAGCTATTTATTTTATTTTTTTGTAGAGACAGGATTTCACTGTATTGGCCAGGCTGGTCTCGAACTCCTGACTTCAAGTGGTCTTTCTGCCTCGGCCTCTCAAAGTGCTGGGATTACAGGCACGAGCCACTGTGCCTGGCCCACTCCTGATCTTCTTACATGTCCTCTGGGAGAGCCCCCAGCATCACTGCTAGCCCCAGCTCCCAGCCAGGGTCCTAGGTGCACATGCAGGAGGGACATGGCGCCATCACTCTGCCCTCACAGGGTGCTGAGGCTGTGTGAATGAGTAAGTGCACAGAGGAGGAGGGGATTCAGCGGGTGGTCTCACAGCCAGGGCCGGAGCTCAGGAAAGGCGGCACTGCGGCAGGTGTGTGGCATGTCAGGAGGCCAGAAGCTGCTGTCCTAGGCCCCTTTCCTCCTGACACCTTGATGTGGTGTAAATGAGGGGCCTCAGCCGAGGGACATTTCACTGGGTGTCAAAAGCAAAGAGAGGGTTAGGAAACCCAAGGGAATAGGAAATGTCAAGGTGAGGAGATGAGGCCTTTCTATGTGAGGACCAGGGGCAGGGCTGCAGAGTCCCAGAGAGGTCCATGGACACCAGGGTGGGCAGCCATCTTCCTCAGAGGGGTAGGCCCTGCCCGACTGCATAGCGGTAGACAGCCTCTCCCTGCCCTCTCGCCAGCCAACACAAATCTCCACATACAACCAGACCCTGTCCTCACCTCACTATGACAACCAGCACCCACTCGGGCCTGCATGGCCCTGGTGTAGACCCAAAGGTGGGGTGTGGGGTGTGGGGTGAGGGTGAGGAAGGCAGCATCCCTGTCCTTTGAGGGCAAGGCCGGCCCCCAGATGGAGCTCTGCCCCAGAGAAGAAGTAGGCTCCAGACCAGAGAGGCCAGGAGCTGGTAGAGTGAGGCCTCCCTCTGCCACCCCTTCCCCTCCTCGACCCATCCAGGGGAGACTTGGGAGGCAGGGGAGGAGCGCCCATCACTTTCCGCCCCGGGAGAGTGCGGAGGGGGCTCCGGGCTGGGTGGCCATGATGTGGTAGATGGATTCCCGGAAGCGCTGGTCCCTGCTGAGCCGCTTGGCCACCTCCTTTAGCTCCTCCATGTTGTTGGCATCCAGCTGGGAGGTCATGAAGGACTGGGACGGCTTCACTGGGGAAACAGGAGCCCGATAGCCCCATGAAGAGCACTCCCTCCGCAAAGGCCTGGCCTTGTCCCCAGCCTCACGCCACCCCTCACTCCCTTATGTGTGCTGAGCTTCTTCCAGCCCCTTCCCACCCATGGCCTTCCATATCTTTTGAGAAACCCAGGGCCCTGAGAATTCACCCATTTGTTCAAGGATGGTGGGGTTCAAGGTTCAAGGCCACACTGTCCCATCTCAGAGCTGGGCCAACCCTTCTTGCTCCCCATGTTGCCCTCTTCCTGCCGTGTGACCACCCCCCAGGACATGCAGACAGACACACTCACTGTCATTCCAGGAGGTGCTGGACCGGCGCCGGTGGAAGCGGCAGCTCTTGATGCGGCGGGTGGCTGCCTTATGGATGTACACGGAGTTCTTCATGATGACGGGCATCTTGGCCTCCAGCTCGGCATTCCGGATGCACTCCTCAAAGAACCCTGTGGTGGCAGGGCCAGGAAGGGTGAGGTTCGACTGCATCCTTACCACCCGCTTGTTCCTCCCCTCCCAAGGATTCTGGTGAGGTTGAGTGGGAAATATAGTGACCCTGTCCCTTGAGATTCCAGAGCCACCTACTGAAGGGGGCTTTCTTTGCCTTTCAAACCACAATCTGCAGCTATCTCAGGGCAGGTCTGCTGAGAACGGGACTCTGAGCTTTTGACAAGCGGAAGAAACTCCCAGCTTTCTTCCCACCCCATATCCAACAGCCACAAGAAAGCAGTGGCACGTAGATGCCCGCAGGGAGGGAACTGGAGAAGAAAGCCTTCAGCACTCGTGGAGCACCTTATGCATAGCAGGCCCTGTGTGGGGTTCCTGGCTCTACAGGGCCGGGACCCCATTTGGGGCTGAGCGCCAAGGTTGGGGGCTGGGACCTAGAGGCAGGGCTTACTTTTCAGATGGCTCACGTCCGCCCTCATCCTCTCCTCCTTCTCCTTATTCCGCACCTTGGAGTTCAGCCCCTGTTCCAGGCTTCGCAAGGCCCCCTCTGCCTCCCGAAGACGCCTCTCCAGGTCCATGCGGACCTTCACCTCAGCCTGAGGGTGACGAGAGGGAAACAAGAAGGAAGTTGGGTCCCGGAAGCAGCTGCCATCTTCCCTGGAAGCCTTCCTTGGCACCCTTGGCTCAATGGGCTTGGGTGGGACTTATCACATCCTGCCTCCAAGTCTTACCCTTTGAACCAGATGGCCTGGACTTGGCCCCTGCACCCAGCAGGTGTCTGTCAATGATGCAGCAGACTCGCTGCTTCCCCCCGTGGTAGCTCCTTCCCCCGTGCCTGGCCATCTGGTCAGACTGACAGAGATAATTCATCCAGCTACCCAGTAAAGTGCAGGGGTGGGAGGGGGAGTCTCCAAGGGAGGGGAAAGGCCCTGGTACCAGCTGCTCTGAGCAGGCCAGTTCGCACCTTGAGCTCCCGCTCAGCCTGCTGCTTCTCTGCCGTCAGCTCCTGCAGCGAGTTCTGCAATGCCTGGGACTGGCTGGAGTAGAACTCACGCTCCTCCTCCAGGGCCCGTGAGCGCTCCTCATTCTCCTTCATCCTGCAGGGACAGAAGAGGCACTTACTCAATGCTCACTCACCAGGTGGGATTGCCAATGGGTGGGCAGCTCCTCTTAGAGACCTGGGCTGGAGAAATCTTGAATCCCAGAGCTTCACAAGCCCCTGAACTTTGTGGGTCCAGGCACCAGGGTATGAGACGGATGGTGTGGTCAGTGATGGGAACCCTGGGCTTAGAGTCAGAAGACTGGAGTCCTGGGTCCAGAGCTTGCTAGTTCTGTGACCTCAGAAAAGTCATATAACCTCTCTGAGGCTCCAATTCCTCATTTGTAAAAGGGGGCTGAAAAACTTGCCCAGGCTGCCACAAAGCATGGTAACAAGGACCTAATGACTCTGCATGGTTCACACTATTGCATGAGATCATTATCAAGCCAGCTTTGGGTAGTGAAAGTTCTCTCCCCACTTTCCCGGTGGGGAAACTAAGTCCTAGGCAAAAGGAAGTGAGTGACCCCCACTTGGTCAGTGCCAAGGAGAACCCAAGAGTCTGGGTGTCCAGTTCGAGGAAGGTTACTAGATCCCGAAGCCCATCATGAACTCGGGGGTCTGGGGCTCCCTCACCGCTTCTCTGCCAGGAGCTTCTCCTCTAAGAGCTGCTGCATCTTCTCCTCGATCTGCCGGAGGTTGCTATGGAGACCCCCGCTGGGAGGGGGCTGCTCACTCTGATTGGCCAGTGTCTGCAGGTGGTTCTCGTTCTCCTCCAGCATTTCCAGGGTTTTCTTCTTCTCTATGGAGAGTTCCTGGCATGGAGGGAGGGAAGGAAAAGAAAAGCCCAATTTAGGTTCTCCAATGTGGCTGCCCTCACCTGCCTTTCCATTCCAGGGAGTGACCCACTTCTCTCTCAGTCCTCTATGGCAGCTGAAATGTCTTAATTCTTCTCCAGAGCTAAAAGGCCCAGATGTCTCTCACAAGAGGGCAAGGTTACTCCTCCATCAAGGGAGTCATAAAGGAGCCTAAAGTGCCTTCCACTGGAGATGGCATCTACTAGAATGGGTCGCATGACCTTCCGGGGTCCTGGTTCCTCCAGCGCAGAGTGAGGAGATGTGTTGGGCTTATGTGAAAAACAGCCAACAGGAACCAGCCCAAGAACAGATTTAGATGCTCTCCCCACAGATCGAGGCTGCAGTGAGCTCTGATTGTACCACTGCATTCCAGCCTGGGCAACACAGCTAGAGGCTGTCTCAAAAAAAAAAAAGTCTCTTCATTAACAAACTGGGATCTTCTACTAAACTGCATTATACAGAAGCAGAGTGGAAAATATCCATGGGAACCACCTCCCATGATATGAAATGGGAAAGATAAATGAATAAAGACCCCATAAGCTCCAAGGCTCCCGTCAGTCAAAGGAGACAAGAAACCTTTGCAGCCTTGATGGTAATTCATGGATACAGCACAGATATGGGCCACACACCACATGTGCCAGGCCCACTTCAGGGGATGGGCTTGGAGAGATCATGAAGACACAGTCTAGTGAAATTCAGTTTGAAAAACGCGCCTAGCATGGTAAGTCCCATAAAATATGTACAAAATGCTGTGGGAGCCAAGAGCACAGAGAAGTTCGACTTAGGAGATATGTGAGCTGAGTCTTAGAAAGGTGAATAGAAGTTTTCCAAGCAGAGGAGAGGTGGAAAGGATACACTATGCAGAAGGAACAATGTGGGCAAAGGCGTGGAGCATGAAAGAGCTTGCTTCCTTGGGGTACCTGAGCTCCGTGGTTTGGAGCAGGGATTGGGAGTCTTTGTGCAGGGCATGGAGGAGCAGCAGAGGGAAGAGTGAGGCAGAGGTTGCTATGGAGACCCCCGCTGATTGGCCAGTGTCTGCAGGTGGTTCTCGTTCTCCTCCAACATTTCCAGGGTTTCTTTTTCTCTGTGGAGAGTTTCTTCCCCCAGAGGGAAGAGGAGGCTGGGGCCAGAGTTTGCAGTTGCTTGCCATGCTAAAGAGTTTGTACTTTGTCCTTGAGGCATGTCACCTCCTCTCCCCATCCCAGTTTCTGTGGTGTCAGGTGATGGTGACCTGGCAGTTGATTTCCCTTTATGTTCAATGTCACCCAGGAGCAGCTAAATGAACAAGCCAGGAAGCGGTGGCCGGCTCCACTGCCCACCTTCACCAATCCTCCACCTGGTATAAAAATATAAGCACCAGAGGTGGATTTCCTGAGGCCATGGTAATACCAAGGACAAGCCTGAATTTGGCCTTCTGGGTCTTGGAACAACCACTTCTTGCTTTGGGCCTCACACATGGGCTGGAGTTTCTGATGATCCATAGAGAAGTGACCCTTTAGATCAGCACCCCTCCATGCCCATTTCTCTTACAGATCACCCCCTGGGGAAACATTGCTGGAAAAAACAGTGTCATGTGGTCCAGCCAATCAGCTTGCCACCTGGTCAACTAACCCACTAGTGCCCCCTCACCTCCAGCGTCTGCTGCAAGGACTCCGTAAGGTGCCTCAGTTCCTTTTTCTCTTGTTCTACACCCTTAAGGCATCTTGCAGTCAGTTCCAGCTCCCTGTGGGGACAGAGGGCTGGGTATGGCAGTGCCCACTCTCCCCATACCCCCACCAATCACCTCTACACATGGAAATGCTTTTCCTTCACTTCCTGATGTGGCTCAGAAGTGCTCTTGTATGGCCAGCCGCTCTGCACAGCTGGGCCCTGACAGCAGCCGTAGGGGCCTGGAGCTGAAAGGAAGTCCCAGCTACATGGGGTTAGAGTCACTTGTTGCAGGTACACATGCATCTGTCACCTGGAAGCAACCTAGGGTACCCCACAGGCAGATGGAAACGCTGGAGAAACAATGGGGCCCCAGCCTCACCCCATCTTCTCTGGACAGCACTTGTTAGAACCTATGTCATTAGATCCCAAATGACATCATTCCCAAAATGTGAAAAGGCTGCAGGAAAGACAGCGAATGCTGGGGGTCTTCGCCAACAGCACCTCTAGGCCAGCGTGTCCTGTCTGACACTGGGTGAGAGAGGCTTTCATGAAGGCAGGGGGCCTTGTGACTTGGAGGGATGCTCCAATGCCTTATGCTCTAGTGGGTAGAAATGACCCCATTTGACTGGGGCAGGGGAGTCTACAGATTCTTCTGGGAACACCCAAGCCTGGAGCCTTGGGAAGATAGCGTCTCCAGGGTGGAGGCCTCCTCAGGTCTGATGGGGCAGGTGGGCTCTGCATGCCATAGCTTGGCAGCACCCCCAGCTCCCGGGAGCTACCACCACCTCTTGATTTGCTCCTGCTCCATTCTCAGCTCCTGCACCACTTCCTCGAACTGCTGCTTCTCGGCCTCCAGCACCTGGTTGAGGCGCTCAAGCTCCTGAAGAGACCAGAGAGGAAGAGAAGAGTCACAGGCAGCAAAGGACCCCTGAGATCAGGATCCCCCACTCTAAACCAAGGGATCCTCTGGGATTTAGCACAGCCTGGGGCATGTGCTGTGCCAGACCTAGAGTTAAGTTCTAAGGACAGCTGGCCCCACTCAATGACACATAGTCTCGACAAACCCAAATCCGTGATGAACTGAGCCCACTGAAAACACATTTTGCATGCTGAAGGCTGGGTTTAGGAACACTCCCAACATTATTCCCTGTGGTTGGAGGTAAGTATAATTCAGATGTCTACTCTGCAGGGCAGCTCCAGTCACTGCCACCATCAGGCAGGTTGGCTATCCCTCACACACGGAGGAAAGAGTGGTGAGTGTGTATTTCCATTCAAGATCCCTGGAGTGATGTCTGTTAGAAGTGGCAAGGAAAAGCTATTCCCAACTCAAAAGTCAGAGAATAAGGACTTTTTTTTCTTGAAGTACCTGGGAAGCAATGACTCCGGGTGGCTTCAGCTTCCCTTTGCTCAGGTCTCAAAGTGGAGGAGAAAGTGCAGGACAGGCCCCAGGGGACCAGACTTCCCCCTTCAGGAATGCTGGGAAGCCCAAGTGTTTTCCCAGCAAGTATATGTCCTCCAGGAGTCCTATTTTCCTGGGGTTCAGTGGCAGGTGGCATTGGGGGGCACATTTCACGCAGTTGGGCTTGAAGCATTTTTGTGACAACTGCTTTGTTCCTCCACATTTTACACTGTAGGAGGATATTATTTCCACATTCCCTTCCTTTCTCATCTTCCAGCTCTAAATTACACTTTCATTTTCACCTGGGGGCTTTGTTCCCAAGTTTAGTGGAAAGCCCACTGGGGAGGGAGGCCATCTAAATGGAGAAGTTGCCATGCTCTTTGAGGAGATGCCAAGAAGGAATAAAATATGAGGCAGAGGAAGGAGCCTGCGTTCAAACCCTACGACCTCCATCTCTAAACTACTTACCCAAAGAGTTGCTATTTCTTTCCCTTCTAATCATTATCGGCACATCGGCACTTTGGGCATGGATCACTGGTTCCAAACTGACCTCAGTTTGCCAAATGCTGTCATCACGAAGGCTGCTCACTGCTTACTGGTTTTATTATTATTATTTTTTTTATTTTTAAAGATGGAGTCTCTGTCACCCAGGTTGGAGTGCAGTGGCATGATCATAGCTCACTGCAGCCTTGGACTCCCAAGCTCAAGCCATCCTCCGGCCTCAGCCTCCTGAGTAGCTGAGACCATAGTCTCGAGCCACCAAGCCCACCTCTCACTGTTATTCGGATGTTCCTCCCAGGCACTCTGCATGGCTACAGTGCACCTGCTAAAGGTGAGTGGGTCCATGGGACTAGCTAAGGCCAATGGAATGAGAGAGGAAGTGTGTTACTTCTAGGCAGATGCCTTTAAGAGGCAATGCATGTTATGCTATGTTCCCTTCCCCCTGCCATGGCAATCAGTGTCTAGATATGAGACATAATATAAATATAATTAAAATTTTATTATTATAGACCCCAACTCCTCTTTAATGAAATAAAAGTTTGAAGCTTCAGAAAAGTTAGAAATTCCCTATTTTATTTGTTCTCAATAGCTGACACGTGATATTGGATATTGCTAATGATGATAAACCCCTTTGTAGCCTCAGATTCCACAAACCTGACACATTCCCTCTCCTCAGTGGGCTCTGCCTCCTGGGGCAGAGCTGTTTAGAAGCCTTGGGAAATTACAAGCTGTAAGCATCTCCGGGGTTACATCTGAAAAATCACAAAGGCACCCAGCTTTTTTTTTTTTTTTTTTGAGACAGAGTCTCACTTTGTCACCCAGGCTGGAATGTAGTGGCCTGATCTCTGCTCACTGCAACCTCCACCTCCTGGGCTCAAGCAATTCTCCTGCCTCAGCCTCCCGAGTAGCTGGGATTGTAGGTACATGCAACCATGCCCAGTTAATTTTTGTATTTTTAGCAGAGACGGAGTTTCACCATATTGGCCAGGCTAGTCTCAAACTTCTGACCTCAGGTGATCCGTCCCCCTTGGCTTCCCAAAGTGCTGGGATTATAGGCATGAGCCACTGTGCCCAGACAGGCACCCAGCTCTTACAAGTCCAAGGCCTCTACTGCTTCAGAAATGATTACCTGGGACTGACCTGGAGGCTCCACCCACTCCGGGAAAGCCCCTTTCTCCAACACTCCAACTTGCAAATATTTCCCAGTACTTAATATTACACTGGGATATCTTTTTGTAGTTGAAAATGGGGGGAGGGTCAATGATTAAAACCCACTCTTTCCCTCCCTAGCATTTAAGTTCCTCGTGATGCCAGCAGATCCCAGCTATGCCTCCAAGAAGCAGAAAGTGAATCTGATTCACCTGAAAATAATATGGCAAGACAAGCATTTGGCTTGGAATGATTGGAATCCCCTTCCTTCCCCAGTGGTCCCAGATATATGCGATCAGATGCTTTTCTACCTGAGTCAGTGCTACATGTGCCTGGGCAGCATTTATTGCTCTGTGAAAGAGTCAGAGAAACAGGCATGCATGAATCAGCAACTCCAGTGTCAAAGGAAATTTAAAGGCAATTAAAATCTCCATCAGATGCTTCAATCTCCTTCTTGATTTTCCTGCCAAGAGATGGTCCAAGCTCTGCTTGACTGGCTCTCATGACAGCCCATTTCACCCCTGAACAACCCTGGCAAAAGCCTTTCCTTATCAGCTCAACCGTCTGCTAGATAATTCTATTCATTCATGCCACACATGTTTGTTGAGTGCCTAATATGGTTCAAGCATCTGCCAAGCTATGCACTGAGGATGTGAAGATAAACAAAAACAGTTGTATCCCTGCTCTCAGGGAGCTCACAGTCTAGTGCAACTATTAATGAAACCAGGTCCGGGAGAGGTGGCTCATGCCTGTAATCCTAGCCTATGGGAGGCCAAGGTGGGTGGATTGCTTGAGCTCAGGAGTTTGAGACCAGCCTGGCTAACATGGCAAAAACCCATCTCTACTAAAAATATAAAAAATTAGCCAGGTGTGATGGTAAAAGCCCATAGTTCCAGCTACTTGAAGGGCTAAGGCAGGAAGGTCCCTTGAGTCCAGGACGCAGAGGTTGCAGTGAGTCGAGATCATGCCACTGCACTCCAGCCTGGGCAACAAAATGATGCCCTGTCTCAAATAAAACCAGGATTTTAGATCAAATGCAAACATGAAATATTACCAAAATAATCAGACACATTAGAGTAGCATTACAAACCAAGATCCATGATATGCAGGACAGGGACATGTTCTATGTAAAGCTACCCTGCTGGGTGTGGAGCAGGTATGCAGTGTGGGGTGGGGTGAGATCAGGTGATTCTTCAGCTGACCGATGAAGGTGAATTAACAGAAGGAAAAAGGAGCATTCCAGGCAGAAGGAAAGGTATGTGCAAAGGCACTGTGGGAACCTGCTGCCCTAAAAGAACCACGGTTGGCCCATATGGCCGGGCCCAGAGTGAGAGTGAACATGATGGGAGGAAAGCTGGAGGGGCTGACAGTGACTGTCATTTATTAAGCACTTCCTATGTTTCAAGCAGTTTGCATGTGGTCTTCCCGGTACCCCTGCCACGGAGTACGGCCTCATTTCAGAGAGTGCTACCTGTGCCCTCTCTGTCTGTGCTAAATCCAAGGCAATCTAGGACACTCCCACCCCCCTCCTCTCCACCTTTATTTGCTATTTATGTGCAAACAACACCTATGTTGATACCTCTAGTCTCTACTCTCGGTTGAGCTCCATCCCATTATATCCAACTGTTGGCTTCACATCTCCAGCCAGATATCCAAAGATATCACAAACCCATGTTCAAGAACAAATTCATGATCTTCCCCAGCAGACCTTGTGATCTTCCCAGTGCACCCTGACTCAGGGAATGCACCACCATTCACTGTGCAGGTGAGAAACTTCGGAGTCATGCTTCACCCTGTCCTTCCCACTCTATTCCTTCCCCCTCAAGTCCCGTTCATATTGCCACCGCCTGCAACCCTGCTCTAGAACCTGCCAGGCAACTTCTCTTCATCTCACTGCCCTGCTCTGGTTCACACGGCTGTTAGGTCTTGCCTGGACTAATGCTGTGACCTCCCACCTGGGCTCTTTGCACTGTTTTTGGCCCCTCTTCATCCTTTTGCCCATACTGCAGCCAACATTACTACTTAAAATAGAAATCACTGTAATCCCAGCACTTTGGGAGGCCAAGGCAGGTGGGTTGCCTGAGTTCAGGAGTTCAAGACCAGCCTGGGAAACATGGCGAAACCCCATCTCTACAAAAAATACAAAAAATTAGCTGGGCATGGTGGTGTGCAACTGTGGCCCCAGCTACTTGGGAGGCCGAGGCAGGAGGATCACTTGAGCCTGGGAGGGTGAGCCTGCAGTGAGCCAAGATCATGCCATTGCACTCCAGCCTGAGTGACAGAGGGAGACAACCCTCCCCCCACCAAAAATGGAAATCAAATCATGTTACCCACACTTTTTCCTCACTCTCTACTCAAAACCTTCATTGCTTCTTCTTGGTCAGGAAGAGAGATAAAAAATAGAAGGTTATTTTTAAAAATTACATACAATGTATCAGTATATTGCCATTAAAACTGATGTTTTCAAAGAATGTTGAATGACATGGAAAACATATAATGTTAATGAAGGTATGATGAAAAGTATAATGAAAAGCCAGTCCATAAAACTGAATATCCAATATGCTCACAATTATATTTAAAATATACCATATTTAAGAATAATCTATAGGGAAAAAAAGACTAAAATGAAAAACACCAAAAAGTTTGGTGACAGTTGTCTGTCAATTATGAGATTAAGGATAAATTTTACTTTCTTATTCATGTTTTACAAGTTTTCTACAAAAAGCATGATTTCTACCATTAGAGGAAAAGTTATAGATTAAGGAGGAGAAAGAAAGAGAATTGAAGAACTTCAGTTTGTGTCCAGCATGTAAGGAATTTAGAAGTTGTCA